CAGGAGTGGTAAACTTATGGATGAACTCAACAACTTGTCCTCAAGTGGGTAAGACAGTGAAGATGACTTGGCATGGTGCAAATCTTTATGCAAATGAGGAGAATAATTCAAGATCAGCTAAGAAAAAAACACGCGAAGACTTTTTCCAAATGAAGTGCAAGAATATTACAATGATAAGAGAAGTGAGGAATGCTAAAATAATGGCAAAATAGCATGATCACAGCATGCAGGTGGTCCATTTTGGTAGGATAGAAACACCTTAACAACTACTCAAATCAAAGGAACCAACACAGCAAAATTATCTCTTATCATGCCTTACAATGCCATGCACCTCATTCTTAGGCTTTGGAACTTCTTGATCTGATGGGGTACACCAACACCTAGCAAAAAAAAGTAATATTTTCTGCCATTAAGTTACAGGTTGCTTGTTAAGAAAATAATCAACTATAAGCAACTTTAAGACTTGAATCCTGCTAAATCCAAGCTAAGCTGCACCAATCAAACTAGTACATCAATGTACATAATCAAAACTTTATATGACAATATTAAGACAATAATCACCTACAATCAATTTTAAGACTTCAATCTTGCTAAATGCAATACACAACAGTACACAAGTTAAGCAAAGCTGCACCTAGCAAAATAAGTAAGAAATCAAATGAAAGCAATGTGAAGTGTTCCAAATGATACATAACTGCAAGCCAAACTTCTAAGTATCTCTTCTGTTTAAGTAAATCTGAACAGGGAATAAAGAATTCTAATTTTGCCACACTTTTAGCAGAAAAGTAATCACCATGGTCACAGTTTTTAATCAGGTACAAGAAAAAGCAAGCAATAATCAGTAACAGCCTAGCCATAAACAAACTACAAACACAATATACTGTGTACATGTGGAATATATAAATATAAAGGGTTATAGCCCGAGACTTATGATCATCTGTATATTCAAGACATAGGGCAAAAATACAGAAAGTGTGGACTGGAGGGAGAAAATAAAATTGAATAACAGTGATGTCAGAGATCCTGTAATGGAAATTATACCATAATAATCACCAACTCCTTCATTTCTAGGATTTTTTTTATTAGTGTGCTTCTTTATTAATCTAATGGCAATTACAGAAATCTTCAATAAGAACACGTTGACTAAAAACAAATTAAAACAAACATTGAAGGAAAACAATTTACTATTACATTAAACACAGAAAATGTTCTTCCTTATTGGATAAATTTCAGAACAAAATGTGTCATTACTTACTGATTCACCATCAGCACTAAAACGATTTTCAAACAAATGACCAACAGCAAAAAGTAAAGATAATGCAATACTGCATGAAATAATACCAAAGAAGTGTTAGGTGGAGGCTCACCACCAATAACTGAATATCAAGTGGAGATTTACCAGCATTCAACAAATAGCACAGAAACTTACTAAAAAGTATAGTAGAATAAAGGCTTAGCAATGTATTGATACCATAAGACGAGTTACACATATTCTAACAATGTTACAATATACCAACACTTTGATGATATGAGATTCAGACTTGCCAATATTCCCATAAAGTAAAAATGATGACTTGCCAATATTTCGAGAATGTAACAGGAATATTTGTCAACAAAACAAAGAGATTTATCAATACACTGGGTAGGTAAAAGAGACTTACCAATTATTCTGACAAATTAAAAGTATGATGATGTAATGTTGAGACTTGTGAAAATTCTGAAATAATATGAAGGATTCCCAATAATCAGAGAATGTAAATGAACATCTGTCAACACTATGTGAACTGTTCACCAATATGCTGATGATGTAAAACTGATACCAGTATTCTAAAAACATAACATAGGAGTGTTAATGCACATCAAGAAAGTTTAACATAAGGACATAAAAAACTTTCAACATTGAAACATGGTGACTTAACATTTTTTATACTGTAACTAGAAGATAGTATTTGACATTTGTGACAGATTTATCATTATATATTTATTTTAATATCAACGTTTGTTTAGATTAAACTTATATTTAGAAATATGCATAGCTTATAGTGTTAAATATGTATTGTGAAACTCCCACCTATTCTCTAAAGTTGTAGAAGATTCTAGAGTGTAAGAATCAACAATTTATGTATTTACGTAAACGCTTAATGTAGCTTTGTATTGTTATGTAATCTGAATTTTATAGAAAATCTCCACACACCTATAAACATAACGCGACAAAAAAAAAGAGTATCTATTATTGGTTTGCTATAGTTGGTATGCTACAAGTTTCGGAAGCTATAACTGTGATTGTTATAACACTTATCAATTGGAAAACTTCAGATATTTGACCAGGAGCATATACAAAATTTGAACATTACAAATCATTTAACTTCAGTCGATTCTCATCGGACATTAGTATCTCTTATGAAAACATTATATAACTTCATCGTGGAAAACTCGGTGTGTGTGTGTGGCTGGTAAATAATGAAGGACAAAGCTAGCTAGCTTCCTGTTAAGTGAATCGTACCTACATCAATTCATAATTAACTTGTTCATTGTGAACCCTTGATAAGATATCAAGGAAGTTTCAGACTAGAAAGAAGACTTTATATTGCTTGTAAGTTTGTGAATCTTTTGTATATAAATCATTGTGTGTAATAATTAGTTGTAATAACTGTTACTGTAAATCGTATTGTTGTTTGTATATTAAAAT